GGCGCCGTGGCAACTTTGGGGCTTGGTCAGGCGCAGCTCCGCACTCTGCGCTGACCCTGCCGTGACCACGCATGCGCACAGCGGTGTTTGTGTGGGGAAGCGGGGCTGCTGGCCCCCATGTTTGCTGGCCACCAGGACAAGCAGGAGAGAGTTCGGATTTTTGGAGGGAGTCAGCAGGAAGAGATGGGCGGAGGAAGGTCAGGGTGCGAGGGGAGGACGGAGATCGCTCCACGGACGCCTCCGAGCCCCTGAGTGGCACCCGCTCTGCTGTGTAGGGGCGGGTTCCTTTCTGTAAGTGGGTGCTGTGACCTGGCAATGGCACTGCACGCTGTCGCGCTGTTGCGAGTGGAGCGCCAGAGGTTGGTGGGGACCTCAAGGCAGACTCAGCCTGAATGCCAACACAGTCTGGCAGTGGCCAGCCCAGGCCCTGGTCACTTCCCTCCACCTAAGGGCTTTGGCTCCTCCTTCCAGCTGGGAGGAACTGACCCCTCATCCACCCCAGCAGTGCACCTGCCTGGAGGCAACCCCCCCACCTGCTCCGTCAGCCCCATCTTCCCCATGCGTGCCCTACTTTCAACGCCTCTCTGCCCCCTGGACCTGTCGCCGGACCCTCCCCGGTCCTGGGCTCGCTAACTTTTCCTTTAGGCAGCTTCCTCTCAGGGGAATTTTGGGTGGGTGGACCCCGCAGAGGCGCACGCATACTGGCCTGGCAGTCTGCGTCCCGGAGCGCTGGGGAGCAGCACTGCTCTCGCTGCACACTTGGGGCCGCGGCCAAGGGCCACGTGTTCAGATGAGACATGTCCAGGCTCCTTTTCCCGCCAGTTTGCCTCGATGAATACATTTGAGAGCCCTACGTTTTCAGACCCACAGACACTCTTTCCAACACTTGTGCTGTGGTCCCATCTTGGTCAGGGCACGTTTGCTGGAGGGCAAGCCGCACCTGCTGGGGTCCCAGGACACCAAGAGTGGCACGAACCCCTCCCAGCCTCCTCCCCACCCGAGGCTGCAAAGAGCACCCCGAGGAAATGGCCAAGAAGAGGGAGGCTGGCAAGGCTTCTAGGAGGGCATGTCCTCAGAAAGAGGGCAGCTTGGGGAGATGAGCATGGATAAGGCAAGCGGTGAGTGGCCGCCCTGTTCCCAAAAGCTTGGAGGGGAGGCTGGCCTCCGTCCACCCCCCCACCCCCCACCCCTGCGCAGCTCCTGGCCTAGCAAGTGGGGTCTCCTGCTGCTCCAGCTGCTGTGGGACACACCCTGGGTGGATGAGAACTACCTTGGAAGCGCTGTGATTGCGAAAGCAGCGCTTGCCTATGGTGCAAACCATCTGCAGAGGGTAAGAGAGCTTGCGTGCGTGCGTGTGTGCGCGCGCGCACGGGTGGGCTTGGCCAGAGGTGTGCTGGGAAAGGACCGCCCGGTGGGTGCCCTCTCCAGGGCTGGGAGCTGGGACTTCGCTTTCTGACTGAAGGACTCCACCGTTTGTGTCTCCGAGTCTGCGGCTAATGGATTCTCTTAGATTTGTATGGCTGGTGGAAAAAATATTTTCTTTTTTGTTCCCCAATAGATTATTTTTTAAAATGGTGCAGAAAGAACATTGCGTTTCCTTGTCCCCTGCTATGAACACCTCACAGGCTCGTGGGACATGTGTTATACTTGATGAAAGCACGTGGGTACATGTGATGACCAGAGGGCCATCGTTGGCAGTAGGCTTAGCTCCTGCTATTCGCTGCTGGGTGTTCCTTTTGTGCTGGCGTAAATATGCATCGCCATCAAGTGTGCTGAACCTGGACAGGTTGGTGGCCTCCACTGTATTCTGCATGCTATGCAGACAACCCCCTTTATGAAGGTTCAGGGCTTTTCCCATCACCCTGAGCACCAGGGTCCTCTCGTGCTCCGGGCGCCAGTAAGCAAGTGCCTGCTCCAGATACTGTGGACAAGTGGAAGCCGACACCAGTTGTCCTTTTTGAAGTCGGCATTTAACACATGTCCCTCTGCACAGTATCATACAGAATCCTCTCACACCCTCTGTGTGCTCATTGGTCCCCACTCCTCTCCCCTGAACATCTCTCTCCAGAGTTTTGCCCTTTCCAGCCACGGTGGGTGGACTCATTAGGTGGCCCTTCAGTAACCCCAGGCATGTTCGGTCCCTCCGTGTGTCTGTCTGTGGTCTGGAAGGATACTTTTGTTTACTGTTCAGCAACCCTGCATTGTACGCACCGGCGTGCCACAGTGAAGCCACCCCCTACAGGGACATCTTGCTCACTTCATTTAGGGCCATATGAATAGAACTGCTATGAACGTTCCCATGCGGGGCATACCAGTGTCTCTGTAAGTTGCCATCTGCTGGGGCCTTCCCAGGAGCATGGAAACTGGAGGGTAGGGTGAGTCTGTGCAGGTTATTTCTCTTCATAAGAAACTGCCAGGCCATCTTCCCAAGGCTGTACTAGCCTACATGGCCACCAGCAATGAAGGAGAGTCCCTGCCGATCCAGGATGTGCCAAAGTTGGGTGTCCAGGGCTCACACATTCGCCGTCCTAAAGGTGTCCCCCTGCAGTGGATGGCCCAGTCTTTGGCTGGCAGTTGAGGATCACTGTATGAATGACTCATCCCCTGACCACAGCAAAGCTGCTCCTTTAAAAGCTTATTTGCCATCTATATATCTGCTTAGATGAGGTGGATGCTCAGGTCTGCTGCCCATTTTTAATGGAAAAGTTACCTTTTTGTTTTACATTTAATTCCATTTAGAAAAGTAAATACATAAGTAAATAAATAGGCCAAGTTTTAAAGACAACTCCTGTGGTTGTTGTCCTTGGGTGACAGCAAGTCACTTCACCCCCTAGCCACCTAATGCACCACTTTATACACTGCCCACACAATTGTCCCTATGCTTGAGCCCACTGTTGTCGCCAGGTGTCCATCTCCTGGAGGGCCGTACTCTTGGGTTTTTTTGCTGGCCCTCTATTTCACCAAACATGATATTCTTCACCAGGTACTGGTCTCTCCTGACAACATGTCCAAAGAATGGAAGACAACACCTTGCCATCCTGCTTCTAAGGAGCACTGTAGCTGTACTTGTTCCAAAACAGAGCAGGTTCTCCTTTCGGCAGTCCATGGTACTTTCAATATTCTTCTCCAGCATGACAATTCAAATGCATGACTTCTTTTTCAGTCTTTTCCTTACCCAATGGAGAATACCATGGCTTGAGTCAGGCGCAACTTAGTCCTCAAAGTAACGTACTTGCTTTTCAGTACTCTAAAGAGGTCTTGTGCAGCAGATTTACCGAATACAATGTGTTTTGATTTGTTGACTGCTGCTTCCATGAGCATTAATTGTGGATCCAAGCAAGACAAAATCCTTGACAGCTTCAACCTTTTCGCCATTTATCATGATGTTGCCTATTGGTCCAGTGCTGAGGATTTGGATCTACTTTACATTGAGTCATAATCCACACGGAAGGCTGTGATCCTTGATCTTCATCAGCAAGTGCCTCAAGTCTTCCTCACTTTCGTCAAGCAATGGTTGTGTCATCTGCATATCGCAGGTTGTTAACAAGCCTCCCTTCAATATGCTGCCACATTTTTCTTCATATAATCCAGCTTCTCTGACGATTTGCTCAGCATACAGATTGGATAAGTATGGTGAGAGGACACAACCCTGTCACATATGTTTCCTGATTTTAAACCAGGCAGTATTCCTTTGTTCTGTTTGCACAACTGCCTCTTGGTCCATGCACAAGTTCCAAATGAGCACAATGCAGTGTTCTGGAATTCCCATTCTTCTCAAGGTTATTCACAGTTTTGTTATGGTCCACACAGTTAAATGCCTTTGTATACTCAATAAAACACAAGTAAATATCTTTCTGGTATTCTCTGCTTTGAGCCAAGATCTATCTGACATCCGCAGTGATATCCCTTGTTCCATGTCCTCTTCTGAATCTAACCTGAACCTCTGAACAATCCCTGTCAACATATTGGTGCAACCGCTGTTGGGTGAATTTCAGCAAAACTTTACTTTCATGTGATACCAGTGATATTGTTCTATCATTGAAGCATTCTGTTGGGTCACCTTTCTTTGGAATGGGTACAAATCCGGTCAGCTGGCCAAGTAGGTGTCTTCCAAATTTCCAGGCATAGCGAGTATTTCCAGTGCTTCATCACCTTGTTGAAACCTTTTGATTGGCATGCCATTAGTTCCTGGAGCCTTGTTTCTGGCTAATGCTTTCAGTTGCAGCTTGAAGTTCTCCCTTCAGCACCGCTGGTTCTTGCTCATATGCTACTTCCTGATGTGGTGGAATGCGGTAGTTCTTTTTGGTACAGTGACCCTATTCTTTCCATCTTCCTGCATCATACAATATTTGGCTCATAGACTTTTTTAATATTTCAACTTGAGGTTTGAATTTTTCTTGAGGTTTTTCAGTTTAAGATATGCTGAGCGCTTTCTTCCCTTTTGGTTTTCTAATTATAATTCTACCACCACTTGTCTGTCAGGTTGTCATATTGTGGTGGTTTCTGTTTTGCTGTGATGTGGGAAGCTATGTCACTGGTATTTCAAATGCCAGCAGGGTCACCCAAAGTGAACAGTTTCCAGCGGAGCTTCCAGACCAAGGACAGACAATGAACGAAGAAGGACTCAGCTCCCCATTTTGGACAAAGGAGCCCCTGGGAACCTTATGCACCGCTTGGAACATGGTCAGTTACTGAAGGTCTAGTGAATGGAAGCAGACCATTGTCCAAGACAGTGCTGGAGATGGGCTTCTCGGGTTGGAGGGCACTCTGAATGGGACTGAGGAGAAGCCGCTATTTCAGAATGGAATCCACCTTGGTGATGTGAGTGGAGTAAAGCCTGTGAGAATGAGCCTTCGAGATTTACATTTGCTGACGGGGCACTACTCAAAGTAAGGTGAGCCAGATGCCAGATATAAGAATCAGAGCTTAGAATGTGCGAAGTATGAATCTATGAAAATTGTAAGTCATCAAAAGTGAAATGGAATAAATAAAGATAAATATCCTAGGCAGTAGTGAGCTGAAATGGACTGCCATTGGTCATTTTGAATCAGAAGATCATGATTTACTATGCAGGGTATAACATGATCAAGAGGTATGGCGTGGTATTTATTGTCAAAAAGGACATTCCCAAATCAGTCATGAAGGACCATGTTGTCTGTTATAGGGTTGTATTTATCTACTTTCAAGGAATTCCCATCATTACAACTATTACTCGAATTTATGCACCAACTATAAAGCTAGTGATGAAGACAATGAATTCTACTAACCAGTTCAGTAGGGAATTGATCAAACCTGTAATCAAGAAGAATTGATAGTTATTGGTGATTGGAATGCACAGTTGGAAACAAAGAGGAAGGGACAATAGTTGGGAAATAAGGTCTTGGTGATAGAAATGAAGCTGGAGATCTCATAATAGAATTACCAACAACACAAAAGGCCACAGTACAAGTGGACTGCTCCAGATGGAATTCACAGAAACCAAATTGACTGCATCCGTGGGAAGACACAATGGAGAGCTCAATATCAGCAGCTAAAACCAGGCCAGGGACTGACTGTGGAACAGACCATCAATTGCTCACATGGAAGTTCCGGTTACAGCTGAAGAAAGTGAAAACAAGTCCACCCGAGGCAATACTCAACCTTGAGTCTACCCAACCTGCAGCTGGAGAACAGCTCAGGCGCAGATTTCAGGCACTGAACACTAAGGACAGAAGACTTGATGGGCTGTGGGACGGCATCAAGAACGCCACCCATGAAGAAAGCAAAAAGACAGAAAAGAAAGAAAAGATCAAGGTGGATGTCGGCGGAGACTGAAACGTGCTCGTAATCATAAAGTAGCTCAAGGAAATGGAAGACACCAAAGAGCTGATTAGAAAGTTCCAAAGGGCAGCTCAAGACCACAATGCCAAGTATTACAAAACTCCTATTAGGGAATAGTTAACAAAAAACACCCACCTCCTCTAACGATTCATTGAAAGCAGACCGTCCGATTTGGCACCTCCAAGTTTCGGAGAAGGGGAGGGCCTGGGGCGAAGTGGCCTGCTCTAACTGCAGAGGCCTCTGGGCCCCTGCGCACACCAGCTGCGCCCGCCCGCGCCCCTGCGGCACCGAGGCGGGGGCTGCATGACGAAGCCGGCCACGCTCCTTGGGGAAACGGAGGCAACTTAGCACGCAGGCCACCCTGGCCTCCCTCAGCGCCGTCGCGTGGCCTCCTCAGGTGCCCTCCTCAGGTGGCCGCCCACCCTGGGCCCACCAGGCGGCGACATCGCCCCTTTTATGCTGAGCGCAGGCGCAGTGGGGCCGCTCCTCGCGCACGCGCAGTGGGGCGGCGGATGTTTACAGCGAAACCGGCTGCGGACTCGGCGGCGGAGCG